TCAAGTTTCTGCCCTAACCAATAGAGTGGATACGATTGCTCAAGGGTTACAGGAACTGCAAATTACAAATGAGAGAATATTAACTTATGTTAGAGACATTCAAGGTCATCTTCCTCATGCCGCTCTTCAATCGGCTGGTGATCCTGCTGTCTGTAATCCAGAAAAATTTCATGGAGATAGAACAAAGTACAGAGAGTTTTTGAATTCTTGCAAACTATTAATTGCTTTAAAACCTAGATCTTATCCCACCGAAAGATCCAAAGTCTGTTCAGTGATCTCTTTTTTAAGAGGTGAACCTATGGCATGGGCCCATTCCTTTTTGGAAAATGATGATCCCATATTGGATTCATTGGATGAGTTCTTTGAAGCTATGTCTTTATTATATGAAGATCCTTTTAAACAAACTACTGCTGATTTAACCATCAGAACATTACACCAAAAGAATAGACCTGTTGAAGATTATATTGCAGAATTCAAAAGATGGGCTACAGAAACCCAATGGAATGACATTACTTTACGCAATCAATTCCGTCTCGGATTATCTGAAGCTGTGAAAGATGAACTCTCTCGTACAGAACTTCCTCCTACCTTAAATGCATTGATTCAACTGTCTATCAGTATTGATAGACGTCTAAGAGAAAGAAAAGCTGAAAGGGTTCTTACTAATTCTACCTGGAGAAAACCTTTCACTACTCTAAAACTACCTGAAAAAATTCCTCCACAAACTGAACCTATGGAAGTAGGTATAATAAAAAGTCCTCTTACTTCTGAAGAAAGAATAAGAAGGAGACAACTAAACTTATGTATGTATTGTGCTTCGAATGAACATCTAATTTCCGAATGTCCTCTACTGAAACATTCAAAAGGTGGTAAGCTTCATTCATCTACCTCTATATTGAACGTTTTTCAAAAAAGAAAAGCATCTACTTATTTTTCTATATCTCTCATATTACAGTGGGATACAAAAAGAATCGTGACTGAGGCCATCATTGATTCTGGTGCTAATGGAACTTTTCTTGATTTTTCTTTTGTTTCAAAAAATAAAATTCCTTGTGTTCAAAAAACCAATTTTATTCCAATCAGAGTTATTGACGGTTCATTTATATCCTCAGGACCCATCAAAGATGAAACAATCCCTCTAAGAATGATTACCAACAACGTACATTTCGAATTCATTACATTTGATATTATTAAATCTCCACTTTATCCCGTCATTCTAGGAATTAATTGGTTAAAAAACCATGATCCTTTAATTAAGTGGTCTCCCTTCTCCATCTCCTTTGCTTCTGATTTCTGTAAAAAAACGTGCTTACAACACATTCCTATTCTCCAAACTACTGTAGAACCAGTTATACCTCCATTCTACTCCGATTTTGCAGATGTCTTTTGTAAAAAAGAAGCGGAAACACTTCCTCCTCATCGGGTATATGATTGCCCAATAGATCTCATACCCGGAGCTCCTATTCCTTATGGTCATATTTATCCACTCTCTGAAAAGGAGTTAGAAATTTTAAAAGAATATCTTAATGAAAATTTACGCAAAGGGTTCATCAGACCCTCGACCTCTCCTGCTGCTTCTAGTATTTTCTTTGTGAAGAATAAAGACCAAACCATCCGTCCTATTATAGATTACAGAGCCTTAAATAAAATAACTATTAAAAATCGTTATCCTCTTCCACTAATAAATGAATTAATTGAAAGGTTAAGAACTGCAACTATATTCACTAAACTCGACCTTCGAGGCGCATATAACCTCATTAGAATAAAACAGGATGATGAATGGAAAACCGCCTTCCGGACAAGATATGGTCTCTACGAATATCTAGTGATGCCTTTCGGGCTCTGTAATGCCCCTGCAACGTTTCAACATTTTATCAATGATATCTTTAGAGATCTTCTGGATGTATGTGTTATTATCTACTTAGATGATATCTTAATATATTCTAACAATTTGGATGAACATAGGAAACATGTTAGATGGGTTCTATCTAGACTGAGAACTCATAAATTATACGCTAAACCAGAAAAATGCCTTTTTGAGGTTACTGAATTCTCTTTTCTAGGATACATTATTTCACCTCATTCTTTGAAGATGGATAATTCCAAAATCAAATGTATTATTGATTGGCCTGCTCCTACTACTACAAAAGAATTACAACGTTTTCTTGGATTTGCAAACTTCTATAGAAAATTTATTAGAAACTATTCGGATGTATCACATCCTCTTAACCTCCTCAACAGTAGTAAACGTCCTTTTAATTGGAATAAAGATGCTCAAACAGCCTTCGACGAATTAAAAAAAAGATTTACAACTGCACCTATTCTACAACTACCTAATCCAACATTCCTATATGTTCTTGAAGTTGATGCATCAGATGCAGCCATCGGAGCAGTTCTTTCTCAACAAAAGACTCCACAAGATCCACTTCATCCAGTTGCCTTTTTTTCAAGATCCTTGAGCTCTGCTGAAAAAAATTATCCTATTGGTGAAAAAGAATTATTAAGTGTTAAAGCTGCCTTCGAAAATTGGCGTCATCTTCTGGAAGATACAAAACAACCTATAATAGTTTATACTGACCATAAAAATCTTGAATATCTCTATACTAACAAAACCCTTACAGCTAGACAAGTTAGATGGAACCTATTCTTTAACCGATTTAACTTCCAATTAATATACAGACCTGGAAATAGAAATAAAAAGGCTGACGCTCTTTCTCGAATTCCTTCTAAAACTACTACTGATGATTATCCTTCTACCAAAATAATAGGAATCCTCTCTTCTCTTCATGATGACATAAAGAATTTGAATCAGAAGGATCTTGAACTTCCCAAAACACCTATACTAACAAAAAAGGATGGTCTATTTTATTTTAAAAATAGAATTTATATTCCTCCCATTCTTAGGAATAAATTACTTAAGATGGTTCATGATTCCCCCCTAGCTGGACATCCTGGAATAAAGAAAACACTTGAACTAACTTCACGATATTATTGGTGGCCTCGCCAGGATAGAACCATTGCATTATATGTCAAAACATGTCCTATCTGTCAAAGGTCTAAACCAGAACATAATCAACCTTTTGGATTACTACTTAACTTACCTATTCCAGAAAAACCTTGGCAATCCATTTCTATGGATTTTATCGTTGATCTTCCACCTTCTCAACATTTCACCACTATTCTTGTCGTTGTGGATCGCTTCACAAAAATGTCCCATTTCATTTCTTTAAAAAAATTACCCTCCTCTGTAGAATTGTCTAAGGTCTTTATTGACAATATTGTGAAACTTCATGGTCTTCCTGAAGAAATTATTTCTGATAGGGGGACACAATTTACCTCCAAATTCTGGAAAGAGATGTGTCTCTCCCTTCAAATTCAACGCAAACTCTCTTCCGCTTATCATCCCCAAACTAATGGGCAAACAGAAAGGGTTAACCAATGTTTGGAACAATATCTTCGATGTTATTGTTCATACCTCCAAGATGACTGGACCACATGGTTACCTATGGCCGAATTTTCTTACAATAATACCATTCATTCTAGTACGAAAATGACTCCTTTCTTCTCCAACTATGGTTTTCATCCGTCTTCATTCCCCATCCAAACCATTACTTCATCCAATCCTACTGTTACATCAAAAAATGAATTTATGTCTTCTCTATTTTTCAAATTACGGGAGAATCTTCAACTCGCCCAAAATAACCAGAAAAAGTTTTTTGACAATAATAGAAGAATTCCCCCTCCTTACAAGGTAGGGGATCTTGTCTGGCTCTCTTCAAGGAATATTACCACAAGCCGTCCTTCAAAGAAATTGAGCTCTCTTTTTCTTGGTCCCTTTCAAGTAATTACTATCATTAATGATAACGTTGTTAAACTAAAACTTCCTCCAAGTTTTAAACTTCATCCAGTATTCCATGTCTCCTTACTTAAACCACACATCCCTGATCCTTTTTATAGGGAAATAGTAACAACTCCTGAACCTATCATTGTCCAAGGTGAAGAAGAATATGAAATTCACAAAATTTTGGATTCTCGTGTCCACCGTGGCTCCTTACAATACCTTATCAGATGGAAAGGTTATGGAGTTGATGAAGACACTTGGGAAGATTCATCTAATGTACATGCTAGGAGGTTAGTTACTGCCTTTCACAAACGCTATCCCTCCAAACCGAAATAGTGCACCCAGAGGATGCCCCATGGGAAGGGGGTACTGTCAGGTATAGCATGGCATGTAATTTATCGCCGGAACCCACTTCCGGGTTCACGGCGCTCAGCCCCGCCCCTTTCTCTGACGCGGTCCCTCCACGATACTTAGGAGGACCGCGCCAGATTCAAAGGGCTGAATTATTCGCACAGGTGCTGCATGAAGATCAGCTGCTCTACTTCTGATCCTACCTGCTCCACTTCTATACCTCGGCTAGTAAACGGATTTCTACCTTCTCCACTTCTCGACCTCGGCTTGTAAACGGATTTCTACCTTCTCCACTCCTAGACCTCGGCTTGTAACTCTGAATTCTACCTTCTCCACTCCCAGACCTCGGCTTGTTAAAACGGACTTCCCCACTCTCCACTCCTAGTTCTCAGCTTGTTGAAACGGACTTCTAATTTCTCCTTCATTGGGTGAATTAACCCTTCCAGTGCCAGAACTGCCTTTAAGTTAAGTAATACTTTTACCAAACAAGTCAATTACTATTATTTATATTACACAGTATCTAAAACTCACTAAAGTGTCACTTTGTCTAATTATTCCTCTTACTCATAAGGGATTGCTACAAAGCCTAATTTTACCTACATGGATATTTAAAGGTACAGTGACCATAGTTTCATACCAATATAAAAGGAGGTGAACCTTATTGTTGTTGCAACCAAGAAATGCTGCAGTTGAGTTCCAATTAAAGAAATATTACAAAATAAGTATTACACCCAGATATACTCGTGTGTGGTTAACAGGTAGTGTGGTGTTGAGTCCCCATTTCTCCAGACTGTCAAACCGGAAGAGGGGTCATCGGCCTTCACTGCCACACGAGTACCCCCCAATTGTTGAGGGAATAATATTGGGCAATCACAGCCCATAGGGGGTTTATTTGTACCCCCATGAATCTTTACTTTTCTTAACAATTCTTCTCCCTATTCTATCTTTTGATACCCACCCTTTCCCCTCCCCACCATTTCCTTATCAATCTATTTTCCTTCACTACCCCCCATGGCTTACTACGCAGCGTCATTCTCAGTTCTCTCCCTTAAATGCAGGGGGCTGAACGCCCCAGGCGCAGATCACATGTAATGTGGGAACTCTAAGCACAACGTTCGGACCCACTTTCGGGGGGGGTGGGGGGAAGAGGTGGCCCCTACGTTATGAAATAGATTCTATCCAATCAACTACTTTAGCAATAACTCCACTGCCAGAAAGACAGGGGTTGCTATTTTGCTGGAAGCCACTTTGCAATTCCAGAAGATGGATAGCTGTAGGGATCCAGAGGGCAGGTATCTCTTCATCAAAGGAAAGGTTGCTGACCAAATATATACACTAGCGGTTATTTACACCCCCAATCATGGCCAATCACCCCTCTTGGGCAGGACGCTGACTAAACTGAAACATTTCACAGAAGGCTTTCTGATCTTAGGGGAGGACCTAAATGTCCCACTAGATCCCATCCTGGATTGTTCCTGGGGCCATAGTTGCATATATCAGAAACAAATTTGAACCATACGTATAGCACTTAGGGATCTGAAGTTGGTGGATTGCTGGAGAGCGTGTCACTCCACTGACATGGATTATACTCACTACTCATCCCATGCATTACTGTCGCTCACGTATAGATTACCTCTTCCTCCAGCAGGAAGATCTCACCCACCTACTTAAAGTGATGATAGGCACCACAACTTTGTCAGACCATGGACCGGAGCTGATCAGTGTCGAATCTCAGCTAGCCAAACCTGCGGAATGGAAGTGGCGCCTCAATGAATCTCCGCGGCTAGACCCAGCTCTCAAGGGACAGGTGGAGAAGGCTTTAACCCTTTATTTTGATGAGAATGATGCAGATGACGTGACCCCTCTCACGCTGTGGGAAGCACATAAGAGCATCATCCGGGGATGCTTGAGAGGCCTCGCAACAAAGAAGAAGTAAGACGCTTCCCTACATATATCAGAGCTTACTACTCAGATCTCCAATCTTGAGCTACAACATAAATGGTCCCGTCTGGAATCTGTATACACAAAACTATTGGAGGCTAGACGTCAGCTAACAGAACTTTTGCTGCGCTAACATTTTAGGGGTATAGATATCTAAAGAATTCTTTTACACACACGCTAATAAAGGAGGTAAAATATTAGCTTGCATGCTCAGGGGACCTAGACAATGCACGCAGATCCACAAGCTCAAACTGTCCTCATGGGAGGTATCCCCTTTCCCACGTGACATAGCAAGAGAATTCCAAGATTTTTACTCTACGCTAAATTGAATCATTAGAGTTCAACCCCATGCTATGGAGATCGAACATCTTACAAACATTCAAAAATACCTAAGTGAGCAGAAACCAAAAATGATACCCCCCTGAGATAGCGGAATCGATGGATTCACCTTTAGGTGAAGATGAATTGTTGTCCGTGTTCAAAACGGCTAAAATGGAGAAGGCACCAGGCCCGGATAGCTTCTCTCTCGGATACTATAAAGCGTTCTTAAACCTCCTGATACCTAAACTTACAAAAGCCCTAATAAGTTAACAGACGGAGGAGCTTTTCACAATGAATCCTTAGCTGCCACTATTTCCATCCTACTGAAACCCAACAAAGACCCTGAAACATGTGGTAGCTATTGACTGATCTCGCTCTTAAACGTGGACATTAAATTGTTCACTAAGGTCTTGGTGACGAGGATGCACACGTGTTTGCCTGACCTTATTCATTCAGACCAAACCGGTCTTGTCCCTGGAAGGGAGGCCAGTGATAGCACCCTCCAACCATTTGCCTTGCAACACCTTGCACGCCGGATTTCCAGACGCCTACTCCTCTTATTGACAGTCACAGAGAAAGCATTCAATCGTGTAAATTTGGCATTCATGTTCGCAACCCTGGAAGCTATGGGATTTGAGCCCTTCCTTATTGCGGTCCATCGTAATAAAGAAGTTTCGTGACTTTGGAGCATAAGGTGGCAGCTTATTATGCGGACGACATACTCTTCTTTATTACCAACCCACAGATTACCTTGCTGTGTCTGATGAAGGAGTTCGAAACCGACTACTTTAGCAATAACTCCACTCTGAGATCTTAAGTTAAAGCTTTCGAAATGTGAAGTCCTCAATGTAACCATCCCAAACGGAGGAATACGACACTCTGAAACCCAATTTTCAATTTCGCTGGTGCACAGAAAAGATTTAATATTTGGGTACCTGGGTGACGGCGGACCCAACTGATCTCTACCGCGCTAAGTTCCTGCCCCTACTACGGAACGGTTTCGAAGACCTTAACCGGTGGTCATACCCACATATCTCATGGTTTGGACACATAGCAGTCCTCAAGATGAATGTCCTGCCACGGTTGCTATACCTTTTTCAGACAGTACCACTCTCCCTACCAAGAGCATTCTTTGTTGAAGATAGCGGTTATGGAGAGGCGAAAGATCCCGCACCCTGCATTTACCGCTCCACATACTGTAAACAATTCACCCATGGTACACTTAGGGTTATTAACATAGAAATAGTGGCTCATGTACCAGAGCTTCGGTTATTTCCACAAGGGAAATTCCCTCACTTGGTTGTTATTGATGTAACTTATAAACATTGTTTACTAATATGATACTGTTATCCTATGACTGAATGCTATTGCAATGTTCAAGACCTTTATATTGATCTCTGATTCAAATATACAAATGAGAATACACTTGTAACTGTGTACTTTACAGTGTACACTTTACAGAATAATAAAATTAAAAACAGATGTTAGTTTTGCAAATAATAATAGACTAGTGGGTTAAAAATACACAACCTAAAATAAATAAGATTAGAGAGGGACCACAAATGCTGTAGATAAAACTTAACACCATAAAAAAGTTAAATATCCCACTCAACACTTGTTAGACAATCAGGCACTGGTCCATATTTGATTCCACTTGTAAAGAATAAACAATATTTTCCGCATACCATGCCTCCTTTCGGACTTCTGCGTGTCAGACCTCGTTTTCAACATATAGGATGTGAGTCTTTTGCTGGTAAAATCTTTGTTTATTGGTTGTACTCAACAAACGTTACACCTACTTTGTAGCAGTCCTCACAAAGTCCGTATAAGTAAAAAGGCGATACGTGAAAATAAATACGGTAACAAGAGTTCATGATCAACAAATGTGTTACAATACAATAACTATAACACTATTCAAAAGGTCAATTTGTGAATAATATTTATGAATCTAAAAAGGTAAAAGGGGTATCATGTACTAAATTAATAGTAAAATATTAGAAAAGTTTAATTGGATATCACATACTAAACCAATAATAAAATATTAGAAAACTATAAAGTTGAGGCAGAGACAGGGCTTTTTTTTTTTATAGGAAACACACCATATCGAAGTCGACGTTCATTCCTTCGGGCTGCATAGTGTTTAGGGTGTAAATCCAATAACCCTCTCTCTGCCTCAATTTAAGAACCAACTCCCCTCCTCTTTCATCAAGGTAAACTTTTTAAATTCCTACACAAGAAAAAATATAAAAATTTAAACTCTGACACTTGTTACAATGAACTGGAACTGAATGATTAACTAATTTCTTTTTTATGTTGTTAAAATGTTCCAAAAAATTTTTTTGGACTGGCCTAGTCGTCCTACCGACATATTGAGCCCCACATCCACACGTTAAAAGATATACTACATGTGTGGTGTTGCAGGTGATATGCTCTTTGATTAAAAAAACATTCTCCAGTAATATTACTTAATATCAGTTTTGTGTGTAATATACTTGCAACTCCTGCATGATCCACAAGTATAGAATCCTCCACTGTTTCTTTCTCTTTTAACATTATTCCTAAAAGTACTCGGTGCTAGGATACTTTTAAAACTCCTTTCGTGAAATTAATGTGTGTAATTGGAGCAAGTTCTGCTTTTAAATTCTCATCCTCTAGTAAATGTAGCCAGTGCTTATTTAGTATCTTTTTTATTTTGAGGCATGGACATTATATTGTGTGTTGAAAGAAAATGCTAATTTATTAGTAATGGGGGGAATGCATGGGCGTAGGAACCCCAAAAAATCTGGGGGGGATAGCATTTTTACTCGCCGGGTATATTCTTATTCCGTAAACTAGGAGTTGTTTATCCCATTGTACAGCGCTACGGAATTTGCAGTTGCTATATAAATTATTAAATAATAACTTTAAAGGGTCACTACAGGGAAGGGATTTTACTTACCTGGATACTTACCGGGATCCTCCTGATGCCGCGCCCCCTATTTCGTCAAAATGACTTAATAGGAGGGTGCAAGCAGGGAGCAATAAAACGCTTCTATTCAGAAGCGTCATTGCTCTCTGGTGCGCATGCGCAACTTTGCCGCACATGCACAGATACTTCATAGGGCGGCATTCATGTCTCGACTAGGAAGCACCTCTAGTGGCCATCTGAGTGTCCACTAGAGGTATTCCTCATCAGTAATGTAAATACTGCCTTTTCACAAAATGGCTGTGCTTACATTAAAAAGCCTGCAAAGACATGCTATAGACACCAGAACTACTACGTTTAGCTGTTGTGGTTCTGGTGACTATAGTGTCCCTTGAATATAGAGAGGAAAAAAGAATCATCACAAATGTAAGAAATAAAATGTCTGTATCATTATTCTAAAAATTATTTTAAAAAAATAAAAAAAATGCACATTCCTAGCTTAATTTTTAGCACGACATATGACACAAACATTTTGTACTTTGCAGATTACTTTTTATATTTTTTTATACATATACAGATTGTGTAATACTGCCCCTGACTTAGGGTGACCACATTTCCTAACTGCTATTCAGTGACACTGTCAGAAATGCATTCCATACATTTTACTACCCGTCTCTACCCCTTCCATTTATATTAGAATCCCACCTACTCCTTCCATGAATATTAGAACCACCCCTACCCCTCCCATGAATATTAGAACCACTCCTACCCCTTCCATGCACAAAAGAACCCCACCTACCCCTTCCACGCATATTAACCCCGCTACCCCTTCCATGCATATTAGTACCCCCCTAACCCCTTCCATGCATATTAGTACCCACTAACCCCTTCCATGCATATTAGAACCCACCCTACCCCTTCCATTCATATTAGTACTCCCCTAACCCCTTCCAATAATTTTTCTACCTCCCCCCTCCTCCCATCCATATTAGTAGCCCCCCTAAACCCTTCCAATTATTTTTCTACCTACCCCTCTCCCCCTATCCTTATTAGTAGCCCCCCTAAACCCTTCCAATTATTTTTCTACCTTTGTCCCCCCCTTTACCTGACATAGCAGGGGGACCTCTGGACGTCTGGCAGGCGCAGTGTCAGACTGAGCGCCGGATTGTCAAGGATTTTTGCCGACCTAGGTAAAAGTAAAGTTTGCTGCCGCCCCCCCCCCCATGTGACGTCACAATGCCCCACCCATATGATCTGCCATGTTAACTAACGCCAGTGCTGGAGTGCCGCCGTGTTTACATTAAAAGGCCTGCAGGGACAGGCTATAGACACCAGAACCACTACATTAAGCTGCAGTGGTTCTGGGGACTATAGTGTTTCTTTAATGTGAGGTAAATTAGAGATTAGTGCCACGAATAATATACTAGATTGCCTACTTACAACCAGATGAGGATGATGATGGGCTCTAGCTGCAGTCTGGCTCCACTGGTCTGGTGTAGAACAGGCTCTCTGGAGGCTGTTTGTAACTGTGGTCACAAAAATCAATGTTCTGGGAGAACGGGAAGCAGCTCCATTTTTTGGGGGGCCCTTTACACAGCTCAAGGTCTGGGTCCCAGGGTCCACCTTCATGTTCCACCAATGAGTTTGTTCACAGGGGGTGGAGTGTGTAGGGGATGTCCTGATATGTGTGTAAGGAATGCATTGTGTGAATCTGTGTTTGTATGTGTAAGGGCTGCAAGGTGTGTTTCTGTGTATGTACGGAATGCAGTGTGTGCGTCTGTAAGGGGTGCATTGAGTGTGTGTACGGGGTGCATTTAGTGTGTGTAAGGAATGCATTGTGTGTTTCTGTGTGTGTAAGGTTTGCATGATTGTGCGATTGTGTGTGTGTGTGTGTGTGTGAGAGATGGATGTCAATCTCTCTCCCTCCCTTGTCACTCTCTTTCTCCCCCTCCCTCCCTTTGTCACTCTCTTTCTCCCCCTCCGTCCCTCCCTTGTCACTCTCTTTCTCCCCCTCCCTCCCTCCCTCCCTTGTCACTCTCTTTCTCCCCCTCTCCCTCCCTTGTCACTCTCTTTCTCCCCCCTCCCCTTTGTCACTCTCTTTCTCCCTTGTCACTCTCTTCTCCCCCTCCCTCCCTTGTCACTCTCTTCTCCCTCCCTCCTCCCTTGTCACTTCTTTCTCCCCTCCCTCCCTGTCAATTCCAACCCCCCCCCCCTACCTTTGCTGTAGCGTGGCCGAGCCCTGTATCATGGTCCGCGGGTACAGGGAGCTTTTGCTTCCTGTACCCGGCCGGACTAACAGGAAGTGCACACTCAGGAGACAGATGCTCCCTGTACCCGTGGACCAATAGAGGGCTCGGCCATGCTACAGAGAGGGAGTGACAGGAGGGAGCGCTGAGTGCTTCCCTCCTGTCAGCCCCTCTCCTCAGGCTGCGCCTGAACGGTGCGGTCCGCCCTCATGGACGCACCGTCCGCGCAAAGCTGCAGCCGCCTGAGGCTCTCTGCAGAGCACTCGGGCGGCTGCAGCATGGGGGGGCCGGCGGAGCTGGGGGGGATTTCCCCCCGCATGACTTGCTGGGGGGGTGCGTCCCCCCATCCCTCCCGGTTCCTACGCCCATGGGGGAATGGGTATCTTATTTAGTAAAATTTAGTAATGGGTATCTTATTTAGTAAAAGGCCACCTCTATCAATATTAAAAGTACATAAAATTTCCTTATCAATAACATTCTCCGTATAAGCGTTCTCTTAGAATTTAGCCTTTAACATCAATGCTTGATCCAAGAATAAATAAATATATTCTGATCTGTGCAATTTCTCTCCTAAGTCTAGTGAATTGATTCCGTGGGACACCTCGGAGCCAGGTCGGATGATGACTACGTTCTGTCTTAATATAGCTGTTTGCATCTGTTGTCAGGTCTAAACAGTTAATTTCCTTTGAATCAAAGGTAGAAGTAAAAACTGAGTATTGATTGTTATTACTATAAGCCATAAAATCAATTAAAGTGTCTTCAGTGCCATTGCAGATAATTAAAACATCATCTATATACCTTCTCCAGAGTACCAAGTTCGCGCCAAAAGGGTTATTCGACCAAATAAAGTTTTTCCCAATGGTCTAAAAAAATGTTTGCATAACTTGGTGCAACCTTGGTCCCTTTTAATTGAAGATAAAAGTCGCCATTAAAAAAGAAGAAATTATGAGTTAAGATAAAATGAAAACTGTCTAATAAAAATCTACCAAAATCAACCAACATCTCTGAATCTGATTCCAAAGCTGTCCTAACTGCCAGGAGGCCTAAATTGTGTTGTATAATCGTATAGAGTGATGTGACATCTACCTTTGCCCAAATATAATATATATATATAATCATATACACATTCTCTCACACAAATACATAATAGACTAGTACATAAAGTAAAAATTTGGTACCCCCAAATAAATGCATTTGTAAAAAAAAAAAAGTTTCTGGCAAATTGGGTTTTGTGTGTATGGCATTTTGGTTCAAACATAAGATGATTTCAGGAAAATCAAATTAGACAAACGACATGGGCACAAAAATGCCCATATTTTCATACTATTCGGTTCACAGATCAGGTGAAAAGAAGAAAACGTTTTTTTACTGGTCTTCCTTTTTTTCCTCTCTCGGTCACGTCCCTGTCTATGTGTCTGTAGAACTTGGCCAATAGCTCCTTTAAATTTCATAGCCCCTTGACTCGAATCCATGAAAGTAGGGATATAATGTGACCACCAGCATACAGGCACAACCCTCACTTATATAACATTTAAAACCCACCGGGGCAGGAAACGTTAAAAAAGGTGAGATCAAAAGATCCTATCCAGAGAACCCTTAGGCTGTGTCGAGTACCAGCTTCCAAAAATGTTTAATCAAGAAGCAAGACCACCACAGATGCAGGTAAGATCCCGGCTCACACTCACACCTCCTGCAGGTTGGATTGGATGTTAGACAAAAGCGAGCGATATGAGTCAGAGTTTTAGACTAAAAAGTCAATAATTTGTATGATGTTTTCTGCAACAGTAGCTAGAGAGCAGTAGTGTACAAACAAAAAAAATCTTATTCTACATCCTATCAGGAAGAAAACATCCAACAGGGGCATCTGAGACAGGTATGTTTAATAATGCTTTGGTGAAAACATGCAACCAAAGTCTTTCATTTACAAGATGTTTATACACCATCTGCCAATTGTAAGCTGTAAAAGCAGTATTTTTTCCTTTCAGTAAGGCATGAAATTGTATTGTATGAGAAGTAATATTTTTTGCTTTTGATTATATATCAGTAGTTGGCATATAGTGTAATTTATACCATCATGTATCATACAGATTTACCCATCTGCAACAAGAGTAGCATAAAATTGACTTAAATATGAGAAAATGAGCAAGCTTGCCCTCCCTTCCCATGTGTGCCATCTATTGCTGCCCAGCACATCTCTCGCTTAACAAAACCAGTGTCAAGGGCACCCAATTAGTGAGAGGGATCACGCTCGTTGAAAAAGCTCTAAAACTAAAAGGCAATTAATGAAAAAGAATCTGAATAATTACGAGATGATGGTAAAATCCATTAGAGAAAACTATACTCATGTTAACCCTTTAAGGGCATGTGTGATGCAATAGAAAATAGAGATTTGTGAAGAAGATACACTTCAGGAAATGTAAATAGAAAACTACTCCATATGTATCACTGAATATCTCAGGGTTAAATTCAGACCCCAATTTTGGCAAGGGCACTGTAAATTATTTAATTGCAGTATGGCATATAAAAATGCAATAACATGGCGCATTACTGTCAGGGTCCATTTGCTAAACTCCAAATTGTAGTGAATTTAAATCCGACATCAAATTAAGGCAAACACAGCTGATTTAGAGAAATTCTTCCCCTCAGCTGCAAACATACTGTTTTTAGCTTTAACCACTTAAGGACCAAACTTCTGGAATAAAAGGGAATCATGACATGTCACACATGTCATGTGTCCTTAAGGGGTTAAAGGGACACTATAGTCACTAGAAAAACTACAGCTTAATGTTCTGGTGAGTATAGTCGGTCCCTGCAGGCTTTTTAATGTAAACACTGGCTTTTTAGAGAAAAATCAGTGTATACACTGCTTCCTAGGGACACATCTAGTGGCTAGACCTCAGGTGGCCACTAGAGGAGCACCTGGGGAAGTGCGGCATAGTGTGTAGCATTGACGTTCAGTGTCTCCACCCTCTGCATGGAGACACTGAATGATGTATTGATTCAATGTATCAGTATGAGGAGATGCTGATTGACCATGGTGTTGTTTTGCTCCGCCTCCCGCCCTGCCTCCTTGGCTGAGATCATCAGAATTGATGATCTCAGCCAATCCAGTGCTTTCCTATGGGAAAGGAGACTACCCAACGAAGACAACTGTGTTGGTCAGTCA